AAAAATACATGTCTTCTGAAGAGTAACTGAGGGCTTAAGTAAGACACTGAGCAGGGAAGCTGTCAAGAGCCAGGTAGTAGGAGGTATATGGCAGAGAGACTTAGCCTGGCTGAGTCTGTTGCATATCAAGGTGCTGGGCACACAGGAATTTTCTCTCACATTTCCTTAGTTTCTGCTTCGGCATCCTGTGCATGCCGTGCACTGCTTGCTGTACTGCGGAGCCCGGAGCCTGCAGGTTAACAGCCTGGCTTTGCTTCACCCCCCACCTCCCTGCTGCATTTCTGAATGTTTGGCAGGTCTGCCAGCCCCAGACTTGGGGACTGTGGTGTCTCTTTAGGTGACCCAGGACGAGGGCTGAGGTGCCAGACTATTGCATGTAGGTGGAGGCAGAAGCATTTGGATGATGCCTTTGATTTTGAGGGCAAGTGTAGAACAATAACTCTCTCTTCCAGCACTGGCCACAGTGTCTCTGCTGGGCTGCCTACATCTAGGAGAGGTGGGGCACGTAAAGCTGTGATGCCTGTTCTGCAGAAAGTTAATATTTTCCACTGTGGAACGAGCAGTGTCTCCATTTCTTCAGTATTTGGAGCTATAATAATAGAACCTGCACTCTGAAAATCACGCTGTCTGGCAAGTGCATCGATAATTTGACAAATCTATTGATGGGGGAAGATGACAAGGAAGAAGTGACTGCTCCACACTGATTGTTTTGAAACCTTCAGTGATACTAAAGAACATTTGTAAGGCATAGCAAGTTAAATGTGCTACATGACCTAACCTCACCCTTGCTAATTAGTATTAGACAGATACCAGAGCATCTTTGCATTGCTGCTTTTGTGTTTACAGTGTGCTCTGTAAAATCCTTCTGGTTTCAATGGACGCTCTTTCAAGTTGTCTAGCATGAGCAAATACTTTGAAGCAGGTGCTAATGAAAGAGCTAGAGCAGGAGTTTCTGCATCATACAACATATTTTTTAAGTTTAAATATATTAAGATCAAAGCAGTTTATTGCAGTGAATACACTGTCTAAAAAGGTATTCAAAATCTCAATCAAAATAACGTTGAGGAATTCAGTGGATGTAAATGGCTGTAAATGGCTGTCATTATTTTATGCTGTCAGCTCATTTAATATTTTGCTGTTAATGCACTGAAAATGTCTAACTTGTAGCCTTCAAGCTGTTCTGTGGTTGCTGATGTTGCAATGACATGGTACTTTTAAATGAACAAGTTATGTTTACATTGCTAAAGCTGGATTTTACATAGTTACCTGTCAAATTCAGCAAAACAAATGTAATTTCATTGCTAGTTCTATAGTTCTAGTCTAATTCTGTACAAACTTTGCCCAGTAAAAACACTGGGAAGATTCATTGATTCATTCAACTTCAGTCACTCTCACCTTATGCCATTCCAGTAAAAGTAAAGTATCATTGGAATCTTGAAAAATAAGTATTTGCATGTCTTTCAAAAAGGAGTGTGTATTAGACTGGGCTTTTTTATGATCCCTGTCTGTAATCATACAATGGCTGTGTAAGAGTCACTTTAATCACCAAAGTGAAGCAACTGTTTTGGGGCAGAAACTGGAGTGGTAAAATTACCAGAATTGGGGTCAAAAGATAACATTCCAAACTCCAGCCAAAGTTCTGGACTCTGCTTGAGGCCTGTCCTTTAGCTGAAATTTCATCTTTAAGAGTGCTCCATAGCACCAGACAATATTGCAAGTTATAAAGATGAGGACAATGTTTCTATTTGAAACCATGGAGAAATACCAGTCCCAAAAATAAATCAATAGCAACACTCACAGTGTAGGAGCAGTGTAGATGCCTCAAGCCCAAGACAGAGTTATCCAGCTCAAGGATTGATGCTGATGCCCATCTGCATCTTCAACTTGCAGCAGACCATGGTGACAGACAAATGGGAAATGGCAGTGTCTCTCCTATGAACAGCTGACTTCCATGTGGTCTGTGCTCCTACCACCTGGTGGAGACCAGGTCAATGGTAGTTCAGGATGGCAATTGCTTCCCCTCTGTTCAAGTCCACCTCAACCATTATATACTTGCCTTGTATTTTCTGATGTCTGAAATGCTGTTGCTAAATTGAATATGCTGTTTTTACTTGCAGCTCTGAAGCCTTTGTGGGTTGATTGCCAATTTAATGATTTATACCTTAATGCTCCATTTAGGGCCCTTGTGTTTATCGCTCATGGAGCTGGGGAACACTGCGGCCGCTATGATGACTTGGCCCAGAGGCTGACAGGACTTAACTTGTTTGTTTTTGCCCATGACCATGGTGAGTAGCCTAAAACAGTACTTGATTTACAGCAGCTCAGGACTTTACTGAAGTAAATGCCATTAAAGCTACTCAGCAGTGAGAGAAGAGTCAATAAAATATTTACACGTTGGCATAAATGAGGAAGAGATCATCTGTTGCTTTGTAAAGATCTGCATATTGAATCTGTAAAAAGCTATCCCTGTTTACCTTGAGTTTTCCTCAGCCTTGCCCTTGACATTACTGCTGGTGCTATTTTAACCTGTCTGTCAGGTTCTCTTTCACCTGTCTCTTGGGGGATGAAGAGGTATTGTCCACTGTGGAAGTGGGACTAGGAGCCATTTCTGGTGGCTTCATGGTTGATGTCCTAAGTGATGCCAGAGGGGAGGCTGAAATGACAGCATAGCTTTCATATTCCAATACAACTAGACAGCTGCACCATTGGAACGTGGAGAGGCATGGAGACATCACAGACCTTTCTTTGGACGCATCTCCACAGTTCAGCAGAGACACCAGAGCTGGCTGTACACACCTCAGCTCTGATCAGAAAGCAGCCTGAGTGTATGCAAGGCTGTGATACCACAGCAACACCACTTCAGCCCTCAGCCAGTAGGTGTGGGGAATGCTGTGCCATGTAGACTTACTGTCCCAGCCTCTGGCTTGAAGATCACTGCTCTGTGCTCTGTTCTGTGGTGTAGATATGTTGGGTGTCACCAGATCTCTTGCAATGCATGAACTGGGACATGCCGATGACATATTTGAACCACCTATTCCTCATTCTTCGGTAGCCTCCTGTCAAACCTGACTCGTGAAACTTCATGATTTCTTGTGCTTGGAAGACTTTGCTTTGTTTTTATCATTGCAGATAGCTGCGTCCCTTCAAGAGTCACTCTAGATATTAGCAAAGTGAATCAATGGCATTAATGATGGCAGTGGTCAAAAGGAAAGGCCAAATTCTGAGCTGACAGGTTGAAATGAGATCAATCTCAGTTAGTGTAAATCTGATCTCCATTTGGCACACCATCCACTGACATTGGAAAGTATACTGCAATACATTGGAAAGTGTACTGCAATTTACTTAGCTGAAGCTGAGACTCAAACGTGCCCCTAGATCTCCTCAAAGTCTGAGCTTGAAGATGCTGAATGCATGCGAGGCATCGCACCATTTAGTCTGCAAGAGGAAAGGCAAAACCTTGTTGAGTCCAGGTAACCATGGCTTCCCCTTGCATTTGCTCTCAGGACTCCCTTTCAATCACAGCACTGCACTGATGTGCAAAAATGAACCCTGTATTTTCCCTGAAAGAGAGAATACATAGTCCTCAGGACAGCTTGCAATGAAAATAAATAAAACTCATGTGATTTTTCTGGACCACTGACCACATGCCATATTCAGCGCTGGCTTTACAAAGACAGTTGACCCATGGAGAAGTATCATTGCTGACCACATGAGTCTCTTTCTCCCTATATAGGCATAATATTTCTAAGTGATTATTTATTAATTTCTATAAACTTCCGAGTTGAACGTAGGCTAGCAGGAGTCTGCAGTAATCCCAGTAGAAAGTATCTCCATCCCTCTCTGTTTATCTGTATGGTGTAAAGTTCATGAGAAAAGCAATGGAATAGGCCACATGGTGTCCAGTCTGCAGCTGCTGTTTGTAGACTACAGGCAATATATACAAAAAGTTACTGAACTCTGGGACACACAAGCAATTTGTTCAGAGCCACTGTGAGCCTACGAGAGACTGTGGTTTCTCACTGTGCATGCTTAATGTCGTGCCTTAGTTTTAAGAAGCAGAGTTAAATAACAATATTTGAAGCAACAAACCTAGAAGAAATGATAAAACATTGTATTTATCGCGTGGATTTGATATGGAGAATGCCTCTTCTGTTGATGGAGAAGGGCCTTTGGGATGAAGGTTCCTGTCAGGCATGTTTTGTGCTGTATAATGAGACAGTAATTTGCTCTCTTTTTCCTTGAGTATCTTTTTGACTAGAGAAGCATAAATATTTCATATTTTTTTTTATAGACTGATGTTGCTGGATTAATTTGTTCAATTAGTACAAATCTGTTGGTCAGGCCAGTTAACAACTCCATTCTCCATGTTTTCTTATAAACTCAGTTTGGTTTTCTTCATCAGCAATGGGGAGAGGGTAGAGAGGAACATGAAAGCAGAACAGTGGAAACAGTTGTGTTACACAAAGAGCTAACTTAGCTGAGCCTAGATTCACTGTAAATTAGAAAGACAACAAACATATTTTAAGCTCAGTAAAATAATCTTTGCAACTAAAGAGGTAAGCCGTGTGGATAAACTTTGTTTGATGGAGTACAGGTTACAGCCTGAGCTGGGTGCCGGTGAGAGCTGAAGGACATAAAACATTTCCATTGCCAAATTTGCTCAGATCAGACTGGGAAGTTTATAGCTTTCCTCCACCATTTTATATATTCCAAGTCACTGCAACAACGTGTTGCCCCTTGGCATCCCGTCCTTTGGATATCTTTGGGTAATAGTAATTATTCAATTGGTTAGCAAAATAATTCTTTTCTGTTCCCCATCTCTTAGCCTTATAAGCTTGGCGTAGATTTCCTGACCTGGACATTTGTTCTCGTTCTGGTATTCTCATGGATAAAATTCCCAATATAGATGCATTATCTGTGAGATTATTAATGCAGTTCCACAGCATGGCTAGCACGATTTCCCAAATGAGTTGGGAAGTTACTAGGGCTGTAGCATGAGTGCCTTGCCTGATTTATATTGTGTCTATCCTTCAGTCAAAAGAAGGAAAAATTATTTCCATTTATATTGCTGCATCCGTAGAAACTCACACACTGGCTCTAAATCTTGCCGAAGGCTGCTCTGCTGCACCGTTTCCTGTTATGCAAGGCTTCAGCAAAAAGGTTGGCACTTCACAGAGCAACAGTATTCACCCAAATTTGTGTCTTAGTATTGCCCTATATAAGGTATCACTGGCTCAGTTCTCTTAGTATGTCAGGATTCATACATTTACTCTTTGTGGTATTTCATAGTAATCCCAAGACTGCTGGACCTCATAGATATATATTAGAAATTTTCCACAGTGGTGGTAAAAATTTAATTCCAGAAGACCTCTTAACCCTATCTTACATCTAATATTATGAAATTGCTTTGTTTCATATCAATCCCATGAAAGAGGAAGATGGTATTTCTTTGTAATACAGCATTTTTTTTCTGTGGTCTCTTATATGGTGTTTGTAATGGGCAGGTAACTATTTCCCATGATTTCTGTGTTTATTTGGCATGCAGCTTCATGAAGGCAGAGTTAAGGCTGCTGGGATGACCTTGCTGTGCATTTCTGCAAGCTTTGGGTATTTTGAAATGACATCTCACTTTTTCAATTTCTTTTCTATATTACTATTATTTTATCATAGCAACATTCTGATGACAGAAAAAAGAGGCAGACAAACATATTAGGTTAGTTACAATCAATTTAGGGAAGTCCTCTTGGAAGGAATACCCATGGGAGAGTCATCAAACTGGAGTGATATTGTAATTCTTCAGTCAATCACAGGCAGATTGCAGCTCCTTTAGTTATAATGCTGTATTTTAGGGATCTGTGAAGCTGAGAGCCAAGGAGAATGAGAATAAAGGATAGAGAATGTGGCTTTGTTTTCTCGTACCAAGCATTTTCAGTTGGTAAAGCACATGATGTTCCAGCTATGATCATCTCTCTTCCTATAACATCTAATTTGCTGGGATCTTACTCTCTATGATTGCGTTACATGGCCAGAGCCCACAACAACCGCAATTTTGCCGTCAAAAGTACATGTCAACTTTAGTAGCAGTTGCAAGAGCATTTCCAAGATGCAAGGGCCACAAAATGTATTTACTTCTGTCTTACACTTTTTAACAGTAGTGACACTGGCCCTCTTTTTCACTTGGACTTGCTGGTGCTTCTTATGGGTAAAGTGTGTGTCTTATGTGAAGACGAGGAAGGTGAAATACTTAGCCCTAACCTGGCAGCAGTTCCTAGCCCTTAGATTTGCGTGAGGACAGTCCCTCCAACCTCCCTCTCTCTCCAGGCAGAATAAACCCTCTACCTGTCCTGGTACATGGAGACCTCCGACTCTTTGACCCACTTTGAAGCTGTTGAATTTCCCACTCTGGAGTTATGTGTAATGTCAGATCAAAGCAGAGAGAAAGGTTGCAGCTCCAACAGCTTATTTGTATTCCTTAGATGTTTCTAACTGAAGTTCAGCTTTCTTTTTCAGCCCTGCTGCTACTTTGTGTGTAGTGAGCATTTCTGATGGGTTAGCAGGTCCCTCTCAGACACCTACTAGTGCTCCCTATTAATTTTCTGTTTCCTCTATTTAGTCAAGCCCTGATTTCTAAAAAGTAGAAAATAGTTGGAGCAGAGATTTTTAAATGCATCAAATATTAGCTGGTTTTGTTTTGTTTTGTTTTTTTTCCAAGTGATTACTATGTTGTTCTTGCAACTGTTAAAAGACCATTTTGTTGATAAGAACAGAAGGCTTTTATTTATTCATAGCACTGGGAAGGATTGATCTACACAGAAAGGTTAAAAAGGACTAAACATGGTCAAACTGGGAGGGGGAAATGACTAAGAAGGATGTCAGCATTAATAAGAGCAAGAATTAGGGTAGCACTGCGAGTAAGAAGTAACAGCTCATGCACACCAGCATGAGGGAATGTTCCTGGAAAGCAGCGCTGCCTGATGATGTGATGAGGCAGGCTTCAGGGCAATCTCCAGGGATGGAGTCAGGAAAGCCTTGGCAAGCATTATTCGGAGCTGGTTTGCTCACAGAGCAGCACAACTGTTCCTTGGTGGCTGTAAGCAAGGCTGGGTGTGGGCCTGCTTACCCGTAGCAATCTGTTCTCTTTCTGCTTCCTCCGATTGAGTCTACCTCACTAGAGCAGGAAAAGTTTAAAGAGCTTTTCTGCAGAGACATAGGAAAGAATGGCACTTTTGTTTGCATTTCTTTTGACAGGAGGCTTACAGTGTGTTGTGGGCATTTTTATTATTTT